CCGCAGCCTACCCCGTCTCCTTCCCCGTCGCCGCAGCCCACGCCGTCGCCTTCCCCGTCGCCGCAGCCGACCCCGTCGCCGTCGCCGTCGACTGAAAAACCCACCGAGAAGCCCACGGATGCGCCGACGCCCAGCCCGACGCCGAGTCCGACACCAGAGCCGACGACGGCGACACCGGAGCCCACTACCGTGACGCCCGAGCCCACGACAATCGAAGTCGCATTCAACGGCTCGTCGTCCAGCAACGGCACGGCTCCGTCAAACAACTCAACGGGATCTTCCAACTCGTCCTCGAACGGTGAAGAAGATTCGCTGCTTGGTACGCCGGTGACGCTTGTTCCGTCGTCGGGTAGTACGCCTGGTGGTGCCTCGGGTGCTACTCCTGGTACTCCCGGTACGGGTGGTACGGGTGCGACCAAGGCCGGCGGCCAGGAGACGCTCAACCAGAACAACGCCAACACGGGCGCCGCCGATGACTCGAACGGCAGCAAGTCGGCGGTCTCGTACGTTCTCGGAGGCATGGCGCTCGTCGGTGTCGCGGCCGTCACGGTGCTCGTCGTCAACAACCGCCGCAAGAACCGCCTCCTCGAAGACGAGAAGGACATCTTCATGTCGACCCGCGACGATAGCATGATGGCCGTGCTCCAGACGCGCAAGAGTGCCATTGCCGTTTTGTAAGCTCGTACACCACTCGACTAACATCACTTGTTTGCCTTAATTTATAATCTGGATTCTATGGACGTACAATCCGCGCCCGTTGCTTCTACCATCGACGTCAATCCAAAGCCACCGCGGTATGAGAGCCCGTGCCCGTCGTCGGCATACATAGGGTTAGGGTTACTGTCTCTCGGGGTAGGGTTACCGTCTCTCGGCGCCTCTGTGGATGCGACTGGCTCGTCGACCTTCCTCCCTGGTTGCAGCACGTAGTATGTTGCTGTAGGGTGAGATCACGTGCGCACTCCTCGCGCTCCCAGCTAGACTTGAGCATTTTTGCGGTTGATTCCGAGAGGGCGCATGCGACCGACGTAGCCAGACGTCGGACACGACAATATACCGAAGGGATACAATGCATTCCCTTGATGTCTGTGTCAGCACACAACATCGCGGTGCCTTGGGCGCTCGTCGTTCATGGAGGCCATCTACAGTAGAAGGCCTCCATGAACGATCAAGTAGAACTTCTACTTGATCGTTCACGAAGTCTTGTGGGATAAATAAGGACAGAGAAAAAGCGCACAGCGGTACAACCGCACCGAGAGTAGTTCTTAGGGGTCCGTTCTGACGACGTTTTCATCACCACCGGGTGTACAAATGGTACTAGACGGAAGCGCGCGCGTTTGCTTGGTCGACTTGCGCTTGCACGTTGGAGGGATGCATATGAACTCTCGAGCGATTTGATATGGCGCTGCTTTGGACGCTTTTGATTGGCCAAAATGGCGGGTTTCGGGTGGCCAATGGCATTTGGTTCCATGAAGCGAAAGAGTGACAGCATGGCCGAGCCGACGACGCCGAAGCTGACGCTGACGCCGGACGAAGCGAAGCTCTTCGCGTTCCTCTTGGACGTCAACGCGCAAAAGAGCGCGGGCCTCACGCTCCGCGTCGCCGGCGGCTGGGTCCGCGACAAGGTACACAGTCGACGATCGCGCCCGTGTCATATCCACACTGCCTGTCTAGCTGCTTGGCCGCAGCAGCGACGACATTGATATTGTTCTCGACAAGATGACGGGCGCCGCGTTCGCCGAGCTCGTCAACACGTACGAGGTGCAGCACGGCCACGCGACGCACTCTGTCGGTATCATCAAGGTGCGCCTCTTGCACATATCATCCTCGACGAGCGTCCTGCGCAGGCCAACCCCGAGCAAAGCAAGCATCTCGAGACCGCGACGATGCAGCTCGGCAGTGGCTGGGTCGACTTTGTCAACCTCCGCGCCGAAACCTACGCCGAGAACGAAGCCCACCGCATTCCTGTCATGGTACCCTGGCTTTTTCTACGGCGTCGTCACGTGGCGCTAGGAGTTTGGCACGCCGCTCCAGGACGCCGAGCGACGCGACTTTACCATCAATAGCCTCTTTTACAACCTCAACACTGGCTGCGTCGAAGACTATACGCAAAAGGTATTTGTACCCATGACGACCGCGACCGAGCGACCGATGGAACAACGATGATTAGGGTCTTGCAGACCTCGCAGACGGTATCGTGCGGACGCCGCTCGAGCCACGCGTGACGTTCCTCGACGACCCGCTCCGCATTCTTCGGGCGGTTCGGTTTGCGTCGCGGTTTGAGTTTGCGCTCGAGGAATCGCTCACGAGTGTGCTCGTGCTCCCTGAAGTCAAGGTAGTCTCGGAGTGGCTTCTATTGCTGATCGGGGTCGTGCTAGGACGCGCTGCGTAAGAAGGTGTCGCGCGAGCGCGTCGGGAAGGAGCTCTCGGGCATGCTCACCGGTTCAAATAACATCGCATATCCTCCTCGACATGGACGCTCATAGGGCGTAGGCACGTCGGCGCACCCGGACCGCGCTCTGAGTCTTCTCTTCGAGTTTGGACTCTTGGACTGCGTGTTTACGCCGCCGTCGCTGCTGCTCGTGGGCGAGAACGAACCTGCGACGCTACCGGCGACCACGTGGGAGCAGTCGCTCCGATGCGCCCTCGCCATGCATGCGTACGTATCCTTCGTCGCTCCCTCTTGGGCACTACCGTCGATCTCTGCAGGCTCTTGGCCGATCGGGACGCGAATCGGATCGAGACGGGCGCGATGGACGAGGCGGCGCTGCACCGCTTCAAGCTCGAGATGCTTTCGGCGACGCTGCTTCCATTGGCGCCGTACTTTGTGCTGCAGAAAAAGAAGCCCGTGTCGGCTTCGCACTACATCATCAAGGACAGCCTCAAGGTCGGACACGAGCGTGGAGTGGTGTGACATGCGTCTGTAGCTGCGCGCCAAGGACGCCGATGACGTGGCCACCGTCATCCTCAAGTCGGTCGACCAATTTCGCTCGGTGGCGCTGGACCGCGTGGCTGTTGGTCTGCTTCTTCGCCAGGTCGGCGACCTCTGGTCGATTTGTGCCGACGTCGCGTACGTCTACGACACGGTCCTCGGCGACGCGTCGGCGGCGTCGGCGGCGGCCAAGTACGATGCGCTGCGTGCGTTTGTGGCCGACATGGCACTCGACCGCGTCTGGGACCTCAAGCCCATCTTGAACGTACGGTCCTTGCCGTATTGTCACCTGGGGATGTCGGCTAACCGTTTGTATTGTATGGGGGTAGGGGAAGGAATTGATTGCGCGCCTCAAGTTGCCGCCGGGCCCGGCGGTCCGCATCATGCAAGAAAAGGCCATCGCGTTCCAATTGGCGCACCCGGCGGCGTCGGCCGACGATTGCCTCGCGCACCTGCAGTCGCTCCACTAGTCGCCGCGACAACTTTTGCTGATGTAGTACGCTCAATCGACGACGACGCGCATATATTCCACGAGACTCTTTACAAGAGGACGGCGCTTTCGCGGCCACTCAGCATCGCGAGGCTGTGGTCGCGGTTGTCCGCCGTGTACACATCCTTCTGGTCCTCGAGCGCTTGGTTGCGCTTGCGGTTGCGCACCACGAGGAACGCGACGGCACTCACACCGACGGCGATCGAGCACACGAGCATGACCGAGAGCACGGTGCCGCCGGCCGAGCCCGAGGCGTCGCCCGTCGACGCGGTGTTGGTCTCGCCGCTTGTGTCTTTGCCACCGATCTGGTTGACTTTGGCCGTCGGTACCGGCGTCACGTCGACGTCGGGCAGCGTCTGCACGGGCGACGCAATCAAATCGATGGCGCCGGCGTACGAACCCGTCGTATTGAAGTTGTCGGTGGCGTTGGGCGTCGCACTCGGCTGCGTCGTGTTGGCCACCGAGGTCGGGGCGGGCGTCTCCGTGGTGGGTGCCGGAGTCGGCGGTGCCGTCGTCGTCGGCTCGGGTGTCGGCGCGGGTGTAGGCGCGGGTGTCGGTGCCGGCGTCGGGGCCGGTGTGGGGGCAGGTGTCGGCGGTGCCGGCGGGCCACCGCCAAACTTCCACTTGCCTTGCGTGTCGGCGACACCAAAGAACTGTTCGTAGCCGCCCTTGTTGGGGACGTCCTTGAACATAAAGTAGTAGGTCGTGTCGCCGCCGTTCGAGGACGCCCAGTCGTTGAACGAGTCGTGGTATTTCTTGGCGTTGTCGTAGTTGCACTGGTGGCCGGCGTTGCTGCCGCCGTCGGTGGGCCACCCGGACTCGGTGATGCGAGCCTTGCCGCCCCACTTCTTGGTGATCGCACTCCAGCGCGCGTTCAAATCGCCCATCGGATCGTTGATCGACGCTGGGCCGCTGAAGAACGGGTACAGATTCACACCAATCGAGTCGCACGCATCCGCGACCTGCGGGTTGCGCAAGAAATCACCGTCGATCTGGACGGTACCAACGGGCACGTTGAGGCCCGCGGCCCGGATCGCAGACTTGCCCTTGTTGATGGCGTCGACGACGGCGCCGGCGCCCCAGCCCTTGTGGAGCTCTTCGTTGCCAATGTAGATGGCCTTGACGCTGCCCGGATGGCGCTTCGTGCCGTCAATTGCGGCTTGTAGCTCCGCGTCCCAGTTGCCGCCTGCGATCCAGACACCAACAGCGATCGAGAGACCGGCGTTGGCGGCCGCGTCGATCATGTTCTTGCCACCCTGTGTGACGCGGTACGTGCGCACGGACGAGTAGCGCTGCTTGATGATGCCAAAATGGCGCTCGAGGTCCGCCGGGCTTTCCGTCGAGTCGTAGCAGATACCGGCACCGTTGGCACCGGTCGAAACACGGGACGCAGCGTCAAACTCGGGGCCGATCGTTACGACAGCGAGGACGGTACCGACGATGGCGGCAACGCCGATCGCACTGAGCAGCTTCTTGTGCGCCCACGCCCACGACCGTGCGGTATCGAGTTTCGACGACGGCGTCTCGAGCGCTGGTGTCGGCGACTGCGTCGGCGTCATGCTAGAAAGTACGAGAATGGCTGCATTCCTACTTTACGGCGCGCGCCATGTGTAATGTCCGAGTTCATAGACCAGGACTCCGACCGTGGATGTCATTGCCCACGCCCATGTGCGGAACGCCGATCGTGGCTGCCACGTGTCGAAGTTCGAAGGACGGCCGCGCCGGAAGTGCAAACTCGCACGCAACTTGGAATCGTCTGCACCCGACGACATATCCTCACGTACATAGAGTATAAGGATAGTGTGCGTGCTGGTTTGGGGCTCTGGGCGGGGACAGTCGTCGTGGGAGTGCCTCCGACCTTGCACCCGCCACTTTCAACCGCGGAATCTGATTCCGGCGAGCGGCATAACAACAAACAGCTCGCAACCGTTTGAAGCCACCGGCTCTTCCACAAGTTGTAGTTGTGCACCAGACCCCGTGACACTGCAAGGGCGATGCAAGGTCAACCGCCCCTGCTGCGGTCCGGCATTAGGTTTAGGGCACGCTCTCTCGCTGGTCGGCTCGTACCGCTGGCCATCCTGCAGCGTGGATCGCTGTACAGCAAGGACCGTACTGGGTAATACTCCTTCTAGTACTCGACGACTCGATCCACGACCGGTTCAGAAGCAAGTAACGAGACGTGGCTACTCGCGCGACGTGAGCGTTGAAAGAGACGCACCAAGTTATGGTCGACCTTCGTACGCTCTTGTGCTTCGGTGAGCACCACTTGGTAATTCGAGTGTGGGGAAGGAATGGCTGACTGCCACGCACGAGGGTGCTGCAGCAAACACGGGTGTGCATTGCAGAGGTGCATGGCAGAGGTGTATCCGAACCTCGAGATCCGGCGTTTAACCCAGTTACGGTTTTATGTTTAAACACACTTCGCGATCTTCGATTTCTTCTTCGAGACACCCATCCGGACCACCGGTCGAGGCGATTAGTATGGCCGACCACGATGAGCTCGAGAAGCTCCGCTCGTACAAGACGCTCACAAAGCTGCGCATGAAGCAGGCTGCGGAGAAGCTTGGCTCGTACCGCGTCCAGGTCGAGGACGCGCAGAAGACGATTCAAGATCTCCAAGCGACCAACGCAGACCTGCAAGCGATGAACGCGGACCATGTCCGCGTCATTGCCGAGCTTCGCGCCGAGGTACGCCGTCGCTATGCCCATATGAACACGCTATAGCTTGCGAGACTAGGTCGCTCGATTGCAACGAGCGCAAGAGGTGGCTGCCACACAACCCTTTCAACGCGCACCGTCGCCAGCAGTAGCATCAGTCGTCACCGACCCGCCGCCAGCGCTGGCCACGCCAGTGCGAAAGGATGCTACTGCATCAGACGACGCAAGCAGCAGTAGCTCGGATGACGACGCTGTCTCGGACGCCGGCTCGGGCATCCTCGCGACGGGTTCGGACACCGACTCGGACGACGACGAGCCCAAGACCGTGGCCATGCTTCTCGGGCGGGCCGCCGCAGTGGTTGCGACGCCCAAGACTCCAGCGCCGCTTCCGTTGCCGACCGTGCGTGTGCCTTCTACAACGACGGTGACGGCGACAACGGCAACGGCGACCGAGACGACACCGACAACGGAGATGACAACCGCTTCCGCGTCGACGGACGCTGCGCCCGCGGCCAAGAAGCGCAAGCGCGACGAGTCGATGCCCCAAAACATCAACCGGTTTCTTCAAGTTGTCAGCATGTCGACGGGTAGCTCCATCTACCGCGCGACCAAGATCCTCGCCCTCTTTTACGGGGCGGTCTTTGGCAACGAAGACAAGGTTGCGACGTCGGTGCGTCCTTTCAAATACTCGGCCGTGGTGCGATCGTGTGGTCTATCTATTACTGGTAGTTGATGCTGCTGCCCAAGCTTCACAAGGCGATGCGCCACCACCAGATTCCCATCACCGACGTCGCGTCGGCCTTCGTCGCCACCGCGCCGATCGCCAAGGACATTGCTTTGCACGTCGACGTGCTCTCCGAGGTGGCACCGACACCGTCCGACGCAGCCGTCGCGCTGGCGACGATCACGCAGCACGTAAGTCGGAAGAAGAACCTCCCGATGAAGCTCCAAGTGGGCTGGTGCCGTGTGCACACACTCTTCAGCCACCGCGTCAAGTCGCTCGCAGCGACCAACGCCTTTCTCATCGACCGCCTCGCCGCCCAGAACCGGCACCTCTTTGACTTTGTCGCTATCGCCGAGAGCTGGCCGCTGGCGTTGACGCAGCTCGCATCCAAGGCGTCGACGTCGCTGTTAGCCGTCACGGTTCGGTACCTCGTACGTCCGTCGTTCGTTTCTGGCTTTGGCGTCTCATGCGCAAGTAGCTTGGCACGCTCGTGGCCGCGCAAGACGGAGTGGAGGACCGCACCGAGCTGCAAATGACGCCGATCCAGGACATGTACGCACTCTGCGGCGGCCCCGTCGCTGCGGACGCCGACGCGATCACGGACGCCTTTCTCAATGTTGCACCGACCGACGCCCTGTTGTTTGAGATGCACGAAAGCATCCGACTTCTCTGCCTCGTTCTCGGCTACGCTGGGTGCATGGAGACGTTCCCTTTGCTGCGCAACCTCCTTGCAGAGACAACGTGTGTGAGCGTGCGTCTCCTCGGTACACGCGATGCTTCTCGACGTAACACATTGATATGGACAAGGGATTAGGTGTGACGGCGGCGACGCTGCTAGAGCACCCGTGTGCAGACGAAGCGACCGATACGAACGCCGCCAAAACCATGATTGACCGCCTCCTTCCCGTCGTTCAGAACACCCATTGTACGCTGCATCCTCCTGCGACGATCCCGCCTACGTAATATGGGTGGATTAGGTGAGCCGAGTCTGCGCGCGGCCGCGGCCGTCGGGCTCCTCGAAGTCGCCAGCCGCGTCTCGGCCAAAACGCTCGCGAAAGAGTACCTGAGTCCGGTGCTCTTGTGGTTTGGCAGTCAGACGCCGTCGGCGCAGCTGGCCATGCCGAGTGGCCTCCTCCGCAAACTCCAAAACACCGTTGTCACACTCGCCTAACACCACAAATGTCGCTACCATAGACGCAAGAGCCTCCAATACCTTCGGCTACGCTTGTACGCGACGACGTCAGTCCTTGTCACTACAAACAGTGCTAAAAAGGCATCGCAGAGTGCCGCCGACGCATGCCAAGAGGTACGCAAGCTCTTGGTCTGTCAACAGCCGCCGTGGAGGACGCCCGGCGCGGCTTGCAAGAGCGTGGTGCACTAGAACAAAGTAGCGACGAAGTAGATTGTCTCGGTTGCTCTGGAGGACGCTGCCGTCAGCTTCAAACGTCGACACCACGTTGCGTCATCGACGCCATCGCCCGCAGCGCTTTGATGGACGCGCTATCCAGCCTCTGGGTGTACAATCAATAGGAATCGCTCTCATCGTGGATGGCTGGACGATCGATGGTCGAACGGGCGATTGATTGGCTTATCCCCACGGGCAAATGAACACGGTTGTTGTCGGCGTTCTTTTGGTGTTCCACACATTTAAACCCTTGAGTGATGCACCACGGGACGACGACGATCGATGGACCGCGATGGTTGCCGGATCGCAAGCACTCCAAGGGGGTCAACACCAGCAGCTTCTTTCACGACGCGAGCTGCCTCGCCGTTTACGCCCACGCCTTTACACTTTTATTCGACATTCTCGCGACTTCAAGAGTGGCACAACGTATCTCCAAACGATTCTCTACATGGTGACGCGACCGGTGGTATTCCGATGTTCGATACACTGCGGTTGCCCACGGCTAGCTCAACACCCCGAGTGGCTCCACCCGAACAAGATGGGCCACCCGCCCTTATCCATCGTTTACGCTCGGCAATCTTTTGCACCAGGCGACACCGCGCATCGTTCGTTCGCACCGCCGCGCCGACATGCTGACTGCCCGTGCTTCTTCTGCTTCTTCGGCTGTGCAACCATACTAGGTCTCGCTGCATTGCACGCAAACACAAGCTTTAAAGCGTTCGTCATGTGCAACGGGGACTGATGATGTTGGCAGCCTCGACCAGGTCCTACCGGGCGTCGTCACGTGCGATGCGATGTATCGTGATGAAGGAAGCCTGCGACGACGACGCCACAAGCTGCCACGTCACCCCGAACTGTTATTTCAAGGATTCCATTTTCTGCAAACGACGTTTTGCTGTAAAATCACGAAGCCATGCGCAGGAGCGTGATGGGTGCCCGCTTGACAAGACGATGTGAAACTTACCACGGAAACGGCAATGGGCCCTACCCGCAGTCGACATGTCTCTGAAACCCACGCCGGGCTAATTCCATCGGTTCCATTTCTTTTCTGTTTGCTCGGATGCGACGACCGTCGCTGCCGCTCGTGACGCCGACCAGCGGGTACGGCCCGCTCATGGACGAGCCGCCGGCGAAGCGCCCGCCCAAGAAGCGCTACATGCACAACTGGGAAAACATCTTTGGGCACCACTCGGCGCGCTGGTCCGTGAGCAGCGTGCTCGGCCTCGTCCAGAAGGAAGGCAAGACCGTCGCCTTCCTCGTCCTCCTCGGCGCCTCGGGTACGCCGCCTCCTTCTGCTTGGTGTAGCATATTCGTGAACCAACCTAGTCTCGGTGCTCGACTATGGCATCAACGAGGCCATCGTTGGCCTCAAGTGGCTCCAGACGGAGTTTGTCGCGACGATCGTACGCGCAGCGCCATCGACGCCAGCCAACGACTGGGGCGTGCCATTGGCGGCGACGCTCGTCTGGAGCGCCGCCTTTGCTAGCGTCTCGGTGGGCTGGACGCGGTTCGTCGATCCCATGGCAGGTACACGCTCCAATATAGTTTGGGATCCCAGCATATTCCACGTAGCGGGCTCGGGCATTCCCGAGATCAAGACGATCTTATCGGCCGACTCGTGCCAGGATCCCGGCCGGTACCTGCGCAGCCGCACGCTCTTCTCCAAGTCGCTTGGGCTTGCGACGGCGCAAGCCAGCGGTCTCTCGGTCGGGAAGGAAGGGCCGTTTGTGCATACGGCGTGCATTCTCTCGCACCAGTTTATGAAGCACATTGGCGTCTTTGAGCGCCTCTACCGCAACAAGTCGCTGCACCGGCACATGTACAACGCCGCGTGCGCGGTCGGCGTCGCATCGACGTTTGGCGCACCCATCGGCGGCGTCCTCTTCTCGATTGAAGTCACGAGCTCCTTCTTTTTGCTCACCGTACGACCCAACCTCTCGTCTCCTCGTGACGTTAAATGGATAGAACTACTGGCGGGCGTTTGTCGCTGCGGTCAGCGGGGCCATCACCAAGCAGGTGCTCGACTACATCACGCGTGGGCACCACGCCGGTTTGCATTCGTTCCAAGCCCTGTACCCGACGAGCTACCTCGACACGTCGTTTCAGCAGCGCGAGCTCGTCGCCTTTGCGTGCCTCGGCCTCTGCATGGGCCTCGCCGGCGCAGCCTACGTTCATGGCGCTGCATACGTGCGCCTGCGCTTCGCACCGCTCAACAAGTCGTGGCCGCTGCTCTGGGGATCGTTTGTTGCCATGGTGGTCGCGGTCATCGTGTACTGTCCCGGTCGGTTTCTCGGTCTTGGCATCTCGGACGCGCTTGGCGCGTTAACGAGCCCGGATGCGTTGCCGTCCGTGTGGTGGTACGGAGACCACCCATTCGGTCCGCTCGCAGTACGTCATATCTGGACGATCAGAACTGAGTTGGTGATGCCGTAGATTTACTTTGTTGCCCGCCTTCTTATCACGATGCTCTCGGTGGCGCTGCCGGTGCCGTCCGGGGACTTTATACCGCTCTTCTCGGCCGGCGCGGCGTTCGGACGGCTTTACGGCGAGGTCCTCGTCGACTGGTTTCCGAGTATCCCGGTGGTACCCGGTGGGTACGCGCTCGTCGGTGGCGCATCGCTCGTCGCGGCGTCGACGCAAACGATTTCGGTTGCCGGTACGGTCGCTCGCCGATGTAGCTCGTTTGAGGCGAGTTGCTAGTCATCGCGCTCGAGCTCACGGGGCAGTTTATCTACTTTACGCCCCTCTTCCTCGCTGTCCTCATCTCGTGCGGCCTGAGCAAAGGCTTGAGCGTCTCGATTTACGACAGGTATGTCTTACTGCACTCTCAAAACTGCAATCTCAACACTGCAATCTCAAAACTGCAATCTCAAACTGCAATCTCAAACTGCAATCTCAACAACGCGATCTAGTGCCATCATCTCCAAGGGACTGCCGTACCTTCCAATGCTGCGCTGCAACGAACTGCGCACCGAGCGCATCGTCGCCCGCGATGTCATGATGAACGACGTGCCTTGCCTTGCTAACAGCACGACGATGGCCGAAATCGCCGACTTTTTGGCCACGCACCCGCGCTCCAGTGTCCCGATCGTCCATGAGGGACGCCTCTTTGCCGGCTGCGTGAGTCGCGACGAGCTCGAGGCGCTACTGGCGTCGTCGCCCGAGCTGTCGACGGACCCGGTCGAGCTAGCATCGGTGCTTGAAGTCAGCGGCAACGTGCTCAAGATCGACGAAGACACGCCGCTCGAGACCATCCACCTCGTGTTTGAGATGCTCAAGTGCAGCAAGCTCTTTGTGACGAGGTTCGGCGTCCTCCAAGGCGTCGTGACCCGGTCCTCGATGCACACGCGACTGGCGTACCTCGGAGGCGTCGACCGCAGTGCGACCACGATCGTTCCCCGCGATGACATTGTGTGCTAGCACTCGTGCCTTCTCTTGAAGGCTCGCTACTTGCCGGATTGATGCATTCATATTGCGTTAAAACTCATTTCTTATACCAAAAACTACGGGCGTGGAAGGGCTGCGACTGCCCGACTGCGATCGGGACATCCGACGCGTGGCAGCGGCGCCGTCGTCACGGGGCGCTGAAGTGTGAGCGACGCTTGTTGCATTCTTGTTGGTAATGCCTTGGCCCGTCGCTGCTCCGAGAGGCTACGCAAGCTCTTCGTACAAGTATTAATCGTGTTCCAAGGCGAGCAGAAAACAACAATATTTTGTGAAACAATGTGTGCAATTTAGTTCAAGAAGCGTATGTTGCAATTCCGTCGGCCCTGGGACTTGATAATAGAGGCAACATGGAAGATAAAAATGAGAGGGGTCTAACAACAACAAAAGCCTAAAACTGGACGGCCGACGACCCCTGCTTCTTGTTGCGCGAGTAGTCGAGCAAGTTGAGCGAGTCCCGCGAGTAGCCCGCCCCCGTCGACGACGACGACGGACGCATCTCGTGCGTCGACGGGCGCTCCGGCGCGTTAAACGTCGGCGCCTGCGGACGCGCATTGCGCGGCATCTGCGTCGCCCGCACATAGCTCTCTGGCGACGTGAGCACGTTCGGGTCAAAGTGCGGGTTGGTCGGCGGCACCGGAGCGTCGTCGTCGCGCTCCTCGTCGATGTCAAAGCTCTTGCGCTCGTCCCGGGCGCTCGGACGGACGTACGTGCCGCGGTCGTTGAACATCTCCGAATACGACTGCGGGCCCGGCGACGTGACGGCCGTCTGCGACGCGCGCGCCGCCGCCTTCGAGTGCAGCGAGGGCTGACGTTCCTGGACGACGGGCGGCGTAAACGTTGGCTGCGGCGGCGGGACAAAGGCTGGTGCGGCGACATACGTGGGCTGCGAGGACGCCACGTAAGCCGGGGACGGTGCAGCGTACACGGGCTGCGGCGACTGCACTGGGACTTGGGTCGGCGTGTAGGCCGGCGTCGGCGTGTACGTGGGCATGGGCGCCGGCGGGTCCGAGTCCATGCGTGCATAGGCCGCCGTCGTCGAGGCGGGAAAGTCGTTGGTCGTCGAGGGCGGCACAATAGGACCTTGCGGCGGCGGCGGCGGCGTCGGGTCCTTCTTGACCGGACCGTGGTCTTTGTGCACGACCGAGTGGTCCGTGCCCAGGCCATTTTCGTAATTGTCCATTTCGTCGTCGTCCTTGGCGCGGCGGCGGCGAATCACACACACGACGATACCAATGACGACGAGCAGACCGGCCACACCACACACGATGGGCACGACAAGCGACGACGAGCCCGAGCTAGAGCCCGAGGTGCCCGGCTTGGAGCCATCGGCCGGGTCTGCGCTCGACCCGGCGCTGTCGGTGGGCACTGTAAACTGCGCACCCAGATCGGCGCAGGTCCGCGTCGTCGACGCCGACGCCGGGAACGAGACCGTGCCCGAGACGGTGACCGTGCCCGACGAGAGCGTGATCGGGATGTTGTTAAAGTCGCTTCGGCTCGTCTTGTCGATGTAGTAGAAACCGGCGTCCGACGGCGACATGGGCACGCCGTTGATGGACGCACCCGTGACGACGCGGTATGCGTCGGTAAACTGCAGCGGGAGGTACGAGTTGCCCGCGCCTTCTTGCGTGCACACTTGAATGTTACCTGGCACAAACTCATTCGGGCACGTCACGAGCTTGTACGTCACCGAGAGCGGGTTGTTGACCGTGTTGGAGGTCAGCGCCTGCATCGCGCTGGGCGAGAGGCCGATATTGGTCGACGCCGACGTGTCGACAATGTAGGCAACCACCGAGCTGCCGGCGTTGCAGTTAGCGTCTTTGCATGTCACTTGGACGCAGCGGCCACACGTGGCCATGACCTTGCCCGGGATCGACGCATACTTGGTGCTCTTCGAGCCCGACGGCGACGTGATGCGGCACGAGCCGCTCTCGGCCTGGGCGTTGTAGGGCAGGAGGCTGGCCGACGTATCGGCGGCCATGGCCACGGCGACGAGCGCAGACGTTAAGAGGAGCAGTCGCATGGACCGAAGCAGTCGGCGATTGCGCAGGCGGAGGCAAAACCAAAACTCGGTGCTGGGTGCGACCCGTTCCAAGATTTGTTCTTTTTAATTTGCGTCGCACTTTTTTAAATACGCGCCTGGTCTTTTAAATTACTGGAAATAGGTAAGTCAACCGTCGTCGAACGCGGCTTCTTTTATTAATTACGATGTCTGGCTGGAATTTTTTGCGCCCATCAGAAAAACGGTCCAAACCTCTCAGACTTGATATGCGCTGACGCCAGCCGGTGCGGTCTAAACACACCCAACTCGGCGCCGCACACGGGCACGCAGCTGCGGCATGGACACGGCGTGACGGCGACGACGCGGGCTCGAAGGCGCTCGGTACGTACCGCCATCATCATGTTCGCGGCCGCTGCGGGCCAGTCCGCGCGCTGGCCATAAAGCGGCGTGCGATTAGCGCCGCGGAGCCGGTCTGCCGCTCCATTGTGACAGTCGTTACTAATACACTGGATCGCGCGGCCGCTGTAACGTCCATACAAAAGGCAAGGTCGTTGGCTCCGATCATTTCCGCCGACGCCAAAAAATGTGCGCCGATGCCTGCTGGACAACGACGGTGGACGTCGACGGCCCATCAGTTGGCATTCCAGTTCCATCATCGCGAACGACTAGCTCTCACGCGCCACGTTCGCTTCTGCGGCCGCTAGCATGCAGTCGCGAGGCAAGTGTGTGCTCGTGGAGGCTTGCCACGGTTACAGTGCGACGACATAATTGATTCTTGGCAGCCGCCGTCGCCGCCGACAAGTACACGGTAGCTAGCCAAGTAGCCACGATTGTGGACAAGGGCAATCTGGACCGAGGAGGAGGATGATATTATTGGAACGGAAGAATTCGAACTGCGTGCGACCGTGCCTGGTAGCCGCCGTCTTCGTGGGCTGTCAACGCGCCGACGAGCTTCGTCCAGTGTCACACGGCGGGTGGAATCGCCATCGGAGCGAGCTCGAGCTCGTGTCTTTATGAAAACCTGTCACAATGGATAAAGATCGCGCGCCTTCGATGCGGTTTGGGGCCAGTCGCCTGAGGAATCTCGGGTCGTGCAACCTGCCAGAATGCATACCGCACCGTCTCGGCACCAGAGACTACCATGTACGTGGCAGCCTGCCGATGCCATCGAGCATCTCGTCCCTTTCTACGCCGGAAGCCTCGCGCCGCAGTCTCATGCGCCCGACGGTACTATCGACTTTGAGAGGTATGCCAACCGCATGCGTTCTTATTCCAAGATCGTCAGCCATGGCCGAGCTTGTGGCCGCGATCCGCCAAGCTATCCCGGCGCTGTCCAAGGACCTGCACAAGGGACAGTACGGTACGTCTTGCATTGTACCGCGTGTGATATGAGTCCGGAGCAGGCAAGGTGGCCATCATCGGCGGCTCGCTCGAGTACACGGGCGCGCCGTACTATGCTGCCATCTCGGCGCTCAAAACGGTGGGTCTAGATACATGAGCTGACACCCCGCATGGATTGTACTAGGGCGTCGACCTCTGCCATGTGATTTGCACGGTCGAGGCTGCGATCCCGATCAAGTGCTACAGCCCCGAGCTCATTGTGCACCCGCTCTTGACGCCGGCGCCGGACGCCATCGATCGCATCGCAGCCGTGCTGCCACGTATCGACGCCGTGGTCGTCGGTCCCGGTCTCGGCCGCGAGCCGTTCGTTCTCGACTTGGTCAAGCAAGTGGTCGGCGTCGCCAAAGCCCGCGCCCTGCCGATCGTCCTGGATGGCGACGCGCTCTACTTGCTCTCGACAGACCTGACCTTGATTGCTGGCTACAGCCACGCCGTGCTCACGCCCAACATCGTACTACGCGCAACGAAAATACTTGCCTGTCGACACAACGTACTAGGTCGAGTATGGCCGGCTCTGCGTGGCCACGGGGCTTTTGAAGGAACTCAATTTGGTTTTGGCCGCGCTGATTCCACCCTCGCAGCTGTCGCAAAAGTCGTCCTTGTCCAGCCGCACTAGTACTCGCAACCTACCCTTGCGCTCTATGTAATAGGCTCGGGCACGTGGCCATTCTTCGCAAGGGCGAGGTCGACATGGCCTCGGACGGTGTCTCGAGTTAATAGCCGCGGCGACGCATTTCGATTTCGATGGCACTCAGATCTGATATGACGATGTAGCCTTTACAAACACACTGGACGGCAGTCCCCGGCGCTGCGGTGGACAAGGCGATGTACCAATGACACGCTGTGTATGCTTTTTTCTATGAATATGCGTTGCGTAGGTTGTGGCTGGCACCGTCGGCGCCTTCCTCGCGTGGCATCGCATCGCGTGCGTCCGCTTCCCGCGACGATCGTTTTAAACAATAGATTAGGAAGCAGCACGGCGACGAGACGTCACGAATGAACCCAATGCTTCGGGCGGCCATGGGCGGCGCCCTCCTGACGCGCCAGAGGTGCACCCAATCCGATTCTTCGCACGTGGTCTGACGCCGCGCGTAGCTCGGTGCTCGCGTTTGCCAAGAAGGGCGGAGCATGACGACGCCAGACATGATTCACCATCTTGGCGCAGCGTTCCAGACGCTCTACGACACCTAGCCCTCGTCCCAAACGTCGGTCTCGACGTGTCTATTGGTATCGAAAAAAGCACAACAACACTAGTACTGTATATGGAAATGGGCTCCTCTTCTAGTCGGTGGTGCGACCGACGACCTCGATTTTCTTGTCGGCGAGGACGAGCCACTGCTTGTCGCCGTAGTCGTAGTGGCAGCAGTGCATCTTGCGCTTCGAGTCATACCCGACAATGGTGCAGGGGTACCATGAGTCGTACCTACATTTCGGATGAGGGCTATATCGCAACAGAAAGGCGCCACCGATAGCTGTAGACGGTGAGGTTGAGTCCAATATCGCGCACGTCGTTGGCGAGGGCGCCCTCTTTTTGATTCAGTGGTGGTACGGGCTCGAGAAGCTTCTTTGGCAACACGTCTACGTACGGCGACGCGGCGAGACGGTCTTTGGCCTTCTGCCGCGCTCTCATCTGCTTGACGATCGAATGCTTGGACTTGGGCTTGGCTGGCCGCGCCTGGTTGGTCATCGTCGGTGGCGTACTTGGCGATTTCGTGCTCTCGCGCGACGATAGGCTGCCCGGTGGTTCTGCGTACGGACTGGACTCTTTTCGCTGGGTCAACGACGCTTTGCTCGATGGACGGCGGAGCGCCGGCAACGACGACGTCGACACGGACGTCTTGGGTCGCACCGGCTCGGGTGCTATCGCTTGTGCTTCGAGCTCGATGCACCGATCGAGTTCGTCGTCCGTGTGGTGGTCAATCAAGCGCTGGCAGATGGGGCACACGTCGTCGTCTTCGGGCGCGACGGGCAACGACGGCGCTTGCATGGACTGCAACTGCGCCTCCAACTGTCGACGTTCACTCTATCATGATATCGTCGTCATGCAGCGTTCAGCTCACAGTTCTTCGTACCTGGAGCCGATGGAGCTGACTCAGTTGGTGCTGCGCCTGACGGTCGTACTCTTCCACCGCACGCGCATCAGTCGGCGCCGAGTCGCTGGCTTGTGAGGTAGGTCGCTCCAACACGGGTGTTGCCTCGGGCACTTGATTGTTGCTGCTCACGAGCGATGGTGGCGGGCGTGGATCGATCTTGTTTGCTTGTAGCTTGCGCTTGAGCTGGGCATTTTCGAGCCGCGCTTGCTTGAGCTCGTCCGTGAGCGATGCGACTTGAGCCTCGAGCGCTGCGAAGCGCTCGGTCGTCGGCTGCGCACGGAGCAAGTGCTGGAGGCGAGCAATCTCCTTCTGCGCACGCGCCAGCAAATCGCGTCGTCGACAACTTCGTTCACTTGAATGTTGAGCGAGATCTGTTTCGCTCGCTCGGCAAACTGCAGCGTCGAGATCGTCTCTTCGATCGCGGCCTCTGACGGTGAAATCGTTGCAATCACAATCGTTCGCGTGTTGCCGCCGAGCGAGTCTTGCAGCAGTCGTGTCAGCTTCGAGTCCCGGTACGGAATGTGTGTTCGCTACAGAAGAATGTTGGTCGAAAAGATCGCAACCGCGATCATGTACTTTCTTGTCGGTGAGCGCCGCAATGACATTTCCCAGCGCCGACAGGCTCGCATTGATGTTGCGGAGCTCGCGCGTGCGGTCGTTGGACATGGCAATGTCCGTGTCCCACTATCGCAAAGGGATAGGTCTCCAACATGCACCATAGGACATCGACACCTTTTCCGAGCCCGCCAAGTCGACGAGGTTGAGCTACATATGCCGTGTGCATGTACCAATCAACGCGTGTGCAAAGTACCTTGGCTCGACGGATGATCGTCGTGCTCTCGGACCCGCGCGACTCGACTTCGATGTTGACTTGCAAGAGCGCGTGGCTCCGACTGCTCTTCTCGTTGCACTCTACGCGCTTTGTCAGTGGGACGACGTGGACGCGGACGTGGTCACCAGTCGCTCGGATCGTGCGATTTTGGCCGCCCACTTGGAGCAGATCCAGCACGTCTTGAGCGCTCCCGACGCGAAATTCAGAGATACCGCTGACGTAAATGTGCTTGGCGTTGCCCTGTGCATGGGATATTTGTTGAGAATCGTTAAAAAGACGATAGAAATGGAATATATACCTTGATATTTTCACGGACTTGCAGTGGCTTTTGGTCCCGCACGTTGGTTGCTTGGAGCAAGTCGAACACTTGGTTGTTGTAGATCTGCATGTATGAGCAGTGGACGACGGCGCCGGCGCCACTCGCACCAATGGTCGCAAGCTCGGCGAAGAGCCCGGCCACGGCGCGCGGAATGATACCGGCCTCCGCGGCGATCGTGTTACCGTCGACCAAGGCCGGCATGCTGTCGGGGCCCATCATCGTGTGCGTCTTGCCCGTACCTACATCCATCGCTTAGCCAGCACGTACATAAGTGCAGAAGGCACCAGTCTGCCCGTAGGCAAAGATCGTGCAGTTGAAGCCTTGCACGACTTGCTCGACCGACGAGGCGAGGTAGCCGTAGATTTCGTCTTGCTGCGTCAACGTCCCGAAAACAGCATCATAGGTATACCCGACGTCGACGTCCCAGGCCGCGCTCGCGACTTGAACATGGTTGGGCAGGTCGTCGCTGCTGTGCTTGGATGTAATCGTGACAACATCGTCGATCTCTTTTTGGCCCTTGCGTTCGCGCTCGTTGCGTGGCCGCACACGGACAATGACGCGGACACACTCTTGCTGCGCGACGCTGTGGTTGTCGTCGTCGTTGCCACCGGCCGCCGTCGTCGTCATGGTCGGTTTCAGAGTCGTTGCGGAAAAAGGCCTAGCACCAACAACTCCACTACGACATGGGCGCCGGCTCGTCGGTCGTCGCGGAGAGTTTTGAGCACGCGCAAGGCGTCGCTGCCTTGAAGGCCGCCCAATATACCGATGCGATTGCGTGGTTGACATCGGCGCTCTCCTCTGCGCCCGAGGATGCCGGTGCCATCTATGCGCACCGGTCGACGGCGTACTTGGCCCTCGCCAACCCTTCGAAAGCGCTGGACGACGCCCTTCTCGCGATCGAACTCTGTCCCATGACACCACAGGGATACTCCTGCGCGGCGCGAGCCGCGGCGCGCCTCGAAGGCGGCGGGTGCGCTGCTCGAACGTACGCCAAAAAAGCCCTTGCACTGTCGCCCGACGACGCCAGCGTGCGTGCACTGCAAGACACGCTCCGCGATGCACCGCGGGTCGATGGGGTGGGCCACGTCTTTAGCTGGGGCGCCGGAGACGACGCGCAGCTCGGACACGGCGCGACGACGTCCAAAGCGATGCCGACGATGCTGGACGCCTTCCGCGGGCGCCAAGTGGTCGCGGTCGCGTGCGGCGCCATGCATACGATCGCCCTCGGTGGCGCCCACGAGGTGTACGCGTGGGGCAACAACCAATACGGGCAGTGCGGCCTCGTCAGCGGCGACACGATGATTCCCATCCCGCAACTGGTGCCCGACTTTGTCGGCCGACCGGTGACCGCGGTAGCGTGCGGGGCCGGGCACTCGGTCGCCATCCTCAACGACGGACGGGTCTTTAGCTGGGGCATTGGCGCGCAAGGCCAGCTCGGGCTCGGGCCGGACGTTGCCTCGTCGCGACCACGGTGCCTCCCGGCGATTGAGAAAGGCGCGGTGGCAGTGGCCTGCGGTATCGCCCATACCATGATACTCATGGAGACGGGCGATGTTCTCAGCTGCGGTCTCAACCAGTACGGTCAGCTCGGCCTCGGCTCGACACGGGAAGGAAGCGTCGCGACACCCCGTCGGCTATCTCTACCCGGCGGCGCTGTCCGGCATATTGCATGCGGCGGTGCGCACTCGTGTCTCGTCGACGATGCCGGTGTCGTCTTTACCTGTGGCTCCAACAGCTGCGGCCAGCTCGGACTTGGCCACTACAACGACACGAGTCTGTTCACGGCCATAAACGGCCTTCCACCTGTCGCGCTCGCCGTGTGCGGCGAAGAGTTTTCGGCAGCGCTCACCAAAGACAAGTGCAGTGTCTTTACGTGGGGACTCGGCCTTGCCGGTCAAATGGGCGACGGGTCCGTCGACGGCTACTGCGACCCGCACCTTGTGCCCGACCTCCCCGAGACAATCGACTTTCTCTGCGCTGGTCAAGCCCAAGTCTTTGCGCTCTGTGACACTGGCAGCGTCTACACATGGGGCTTGCCGGGCGACCGGGCGTTTGATAATGCGTCGATGGTGCCTCGGCCGCAAAAGGTGGGCGCCTTCTTTGGAAAGAAGCGCATCCACATGCTGGCGTGCGGGCGAAAGCACTACGTCTTGCTCGCACGGGGGGCTGTCGCGCACCGGACAACCTTGCAGTGGGCCAAGAACACGCGCTTCATCGCTGGCGCATGGTCCAAGTTTGAGCTCACGACGTACGACGGCCTCGGTGGCCGGTGCTCGACCGGCGGCTACATCTTTACGAGCCATTTATCGCTACAGAGCACGGACGACGCGGCCTCGGCACTCGGTTTAGCCTCGGATGACACGAACGAGACGACGGTTGAAACCAACGACAATATGGATGGGAGCTACAGCGGACGATGTCGCTGCCATCGTGCGGGATCGTACCTCTTGCATGTGACGTTGGATGAAATCGGCATCCAAGACCACCCACTTGCGCTGACGGTAGCACCCGCGCGAGTGTGTCCGCCGCAGTGCAGCGTGGTCTGGCCACCACACGTTGCATGTCCGCTCGTGCAGCCGCCAGGCGCTACCATCGATATACTCGTGACCTTGCGCGACGCGTTTGGCAACCGTATCGTGCGGTTGACCGCCGTCGTCGACGACGACGACGTCGATGATGAGCCCGTCGTCCACTACCAGATCGTCGATACTGACAACCGCGTTGTGATCAAGGCCAGTGGCGGCCAACCGCTAACTCTGCGCTGGCCGTCCAATCCAGGCGAGTACACGCTCGACCTTGGTCTCGATGGACTCCACGGCCAGCATGCGATGCGCGGCAGTCCATTTTCGCTGCGCGTCCACGCGACGACCGCCGACACCTTGCGTCAACTGACGGAACAGTTGACGATCTCGGTACCGACGACGAGCGAAGTGGGCGAGACGATGTCACTGCGCATTGACGCACCCCCCGAGCTTCTTCCACCCGACTGCTCTTTCATCGTGCGATTTCAGTCGATGTTGGCAGAGCACACGCTTAGCGCGAGAGCGGTGGTTCGCTGGGGCGCGTCGGACCCGCTGACACCGACCTCGGTGACGGTATCCGACCCGCCGTTCACCGCCACCCATACAATCAAAGTCGCTGGCAAGTACGCGGTGGTGGCATTGATCACCAATGGCACGTACGCGCATGCTATCGATGAGGTCGCTCTCGAGATGACACCGGGGCGCGCGTCGGCCGAGTTCACTTTTGTCAGCAACTGGCGCCAACTATTGTCCGCGTGGCCAGCCGGCAACGTGGCGTTGACTCTGCATCTGGAGCTTCGAGACGCGTTTGGCAACAGTACACCCGTGCGCGACGACGACAACGTCCTCGCGTGGATCGCAATCACACCTGATGATGTGACGCCATCCGAAGAAGAGTATCTGCACGTGTCAGAGACGGTCGGCAGTCGGGTGAGCTTGGTCTTACCATGTGGCGGCTTCGGCGCCTCTGAATGGCTGCACATACATGTAAACGGGCGGCCCATCGAGTACGCACCGTTCGCACTACGCGGAGACGCAATGCTGCCGCCAATTGAGACAACGGAGAGCCTGCCACCGCCCCTCCTGGACGCTGCGAGCATCGAGCGGCTGCGGCTCGAAGAGGCCACGCGCCGACGCGCCGCCGAGGCGTTGCGGCGGGAGCGGCAAAAGCGACGCGATTCACACGCCAAGCAACTCGCCTTACAGAGCATGCGGCGGACCGGAGGCGGCTTCACCGTTCAGTTCGCACCGTGAGTCAAAAAGCAAGAAAAGAGGTGGTGGTAGAATGCTTCCTTCTTGCGACGACGACGACGTTTTGTTCCAAACGACCAAGCGTCAATTCGAACCGAAGCACATTATGTCCTGACGGAACGGGCCACATCAGTCGTACGCGCTGTCGTAGCGGTGTGGCTTGGCGCGGATAGAATTGATCCAAACCCAATGCACATTTAAGCAACATCCTATTCAACTAGCTGCGCCTATCTATCTATCTATCTATCTATCTATCTATCTATCTATCTATCTATCTATCTATCCATTCGTTCTGTTGGATCGATCAAAATAGGTCCATTGAGAGCTCTAGTTCATCATTGTGCAGTTTCGTGCCGCAGTTTCGTACCGGCATTCGTCTCGGTGCAGCACACATGCGTCGGCTAGCGTCGCTGCGGAATCGAGTGCAGCCGCTTCTGTTCGAGCTGCACGACCAACTCGTCGTGCCCCGTGACGTCCGGGGCTCCGAAAGTGACGCGACAGAGCGCGCCCTCGCCTACCTCGGGCGCCCCAAGAGGTACTGGACGATGGCGCCATGACCAAGCAACAATTGCATTGTATTCTAGAAGTGTCAGTCGCTTCTGGTCCGAGAAGGCGTGGCTGCTTCTGGACGCACTCCAGATCTACGGCCTTGTATGGCAGCTGGCCCAGTCGTGGCCGTGGCCATCGGCATGGCTCGCGTCGACGCGCTGGATCGTAGCGTTCAACCTCGATGTGCTGAGCTTCCTGCCCACGGGCGCTGGCATGGGCATGAAGGCTCCGCCCTTCTCTCTTTGGTACTCGTCCCCGCGTGTCGCTTCTTCGTCGACACTACTACGTTCTTAGGGGCGAACTGCATGGGTCCTACTGGCTGTACGCACTCGTGTATGCACTGCTGCCGTATGCGGCCATGCTGTACTACATCGTGCGGGCTCGGCACTGGCGGGTGCGAGGGGACGCGCTCTTCCTCGTCTTTGCCGCCCGCCTTGAGAACCGGCTCCTGCGGCTTTTTCAGGTCCTGTACCTGCCGATCGCGCTCGCGCTTAGTCGTCTCGTCAACTGCATGGCGGTGCCCAATCCTCTGGACGTCCACGCCTCGGACATTGTGCTCAGCGTGGACCCGACGGTCAAGTGTCACAGCTCCCTCCACATGTACGACGTCGTTTTGGCGCGCTCGGTCTCACACATACTATGGGTGTAGCACCTTGGGCGTTGGCATTGGTGCTCTCTTGGGGCTTCCGTTTCTCTTCGGGTTCCCATGGTTTTTATATCGGCGGATACACTGCGCCGGCATGGCGTGCAGCGACGGTATTTGAACCCGCGACACCATGTCGTATAATGTCGGCGTAGACGGCCACGAAGAAACTGTCGCTGCGATCGAGCTGAGCTACCTCGTGGGCATCTCGGACGACTATGAGCTCTTGTACGTGCCACAGTACGCGTCGTACACACGGCGACGCGCGAGCCTACCCGTGTACATGTGTCTGTACAAGCTCAGTCTCCTTCTCGTCTTTTCTGTGCTGCGGTCGCAGTTTCCAAACATCGAGAACCAGCCACTGCAAGGCACGCTTTTCTTTACTCTACTCACGCTGCGCTTCCTCCTTCAAAGCTACGACTACCCGTACCGCCTCTCGTCGACCAACCACGTGATGGTGTTTTTGGATTTGGTGTTGATTTTCGACGGCGTCATGGGTACTACGAAGCCGCGAGATGATTTGATGACAATATTCATAATGTCTAGTGTTCTTGTCGGCCAATAACGTCCGCAGCGCGCTCACCGTCGCGTCGGTCAAGGTGCTCTGCCTCACCTTTGTACATACGTGGGCCATCGTCGTGCTGAGTGTGTGGTGCGTCCTCCTCTTCCTCGCGTGGCGGCGCATGCAAGTGACGTGGCCGACGCATCTTCGCATGCGCGCGCTCGTGGCACACGCCCCACCGTACGGACTTGGGTCGAGACCATTCAAGCGGCACAGGAGCTACTGCACAAGGTGCGCTTTGGATGGTGTAAGCACCAGTTGTCATTGTATGTACTAGGACTATGCGTCGCCGACGTTGGTCAAGCCGACGGTCGAGCTCGGTGCTATGGCGACGGCGCTCCAGGCCCATGCCTCTGACGCGTTGCGCTTGCGTCACCTCTTGCACGTATTCCTACATTGATTGATGGATTGATTGATGGGATAAATGACAATATTCTCCACTACGGACGGTAGCGCTCACTGCACGACTTGGCCTTGCACGTGCAAGCCGCATACGTCGAGTCAGCCGCCACGTCGGCGATGCCGTCGTCGCTCCTCGACAGCTGCGTCGACAGCTTTGCCTCGGAGCTCGAGCGCTACCAGGTACGACTCGTTTCGATGACCAAAGTAAGACAAGTTGTCCACAACCTCGCACAGGAAAAACATGCAATTTTGCACCCACGCAAGCGAGACGCGCTCTTCAAGCTACGTGTGCTCCACACACTTGTCGACGAACACAGCGGCAAGCCAACGTCGAAGGAGCTCTCCACCCCATCTTTCTCAGCACCAAGCATGCGCCGCGCCCCACTGGATGACATGCTCGTGGCCACGGACCCCGCACTCTACGTCTGGTTCAGCTGGGATCCGTCCATGTCGCTGCTGGTGGCCACCTGCGGTGCGCCGACGCCGACACTCTTGTCCGTGCGGTGGTACCTGGCACTGTACCACACAACGCTGCACATGGGTTGCATCGCGACGGTCACATCCATCGATGTGGCCACGCTGTGGGTCCACCTTGACGTCCTCCTTTGCTTTGAACACGCAGCGCCGTGCGTTCGCAGTGGCTGGCTCTGCTTGAGGCAGGTGCCGTCGCCCGTCAACGCGACCTTGTTGCAATGCAACGACCCGGATACCCACCACATCTTTGCGAGTCTACCGCAGCACACGCCGACGCCAAGCGCCGTCTCCGTGGCCCGATTGCAATCGCTCTTGGAGCGTCCTATCGAGAGAGCGGCCGAGCGTGTCGTCGACTGGCAAGACGTCTTGTACGAATGGGAGGTCGCGTTCGTGTACTTCGAGAAGCGGCGCCCGTCGAGCTCGGATCGGGCCAAGGTTCAAGCGTGGTTTCGAGCCTACCACAGCGCGCGGTGCGCTGCCAAAGCCGCGACAACGAGTGCTATTTGAACATATGCTCTGTATTCTCTTTTTAACAAGCATGCCGATGGCGCCACTCTGCCGAGGACAGCCTCTTATGCATCACATCGCAGAATATCGATCGAGCGTGCGTTGAAAGGACCAACTTGGTGCTCCGTGTGGGACAAACGAAATGACTTTTCTTTATTTTTGTTATGGAATCACCTAGGGCTAGGGTAGTATCGCCTGTAAAAGGCTAAAGTGCCGTCAGGAAGCGCAGCCGTTGCCATGTACGCGTGTCACGCAAGGCCACTGCGATATATGTCTATTGGATATCGTCTATATCATCTACTAGCGTTCGTTCACAGCTAGTTGTGTTGTTGTTAAAGTTGGTCGTCTTTCAAGACCGATTATTCGTCAAAAGCTAAGTACTCATCTCGGCCTTTCTTTGGTGTGTACAGTCGGTTCCGGGACGTGGCCGAGGCAGACAGAGTCGGGAGCGCGATCAACAAGACAAGATACCGACGTGGTGCGCGAGAAGCCGACGAAGATCATGTGGCTCGGGCTCTTGAACGAGGCTGTCGTGCAAGCGCAGTTGAGCGACCCGCGCCGCCTTGACGGCCATCGTCCATGGACTTGGTAGTGGTAGGTTGGCGCGAAAGACGCGATCGTTCTGGATTCGTCAGAAGTTGAACCAGACGCAGGCGGAAGCGAGTGGTGCTCCAAACGACGTGCTCAATAAGGGTGTCTACAAGTGGGGTAGCATCTTTGCGCCGCGATTGGGCCTTGTCGTCTCGACTTTGATTTGGATCTGGGAGCGCGATTTGATCGGGCAGTGGGGGTACGCCAGTGACGCGCCGTCGTCGTTATCGAGCGCCCGCGTCGGCGACGTCGGCGCGCCGTTCGGGTGCTGTAAATACAACACCGGGTCGAACGTGATGCTCTTGCCCAACGCAATGCCCATGTCGGAGGCCTCGTTCTGGCGCTGCAGCTTCGCGTGGTACGCACTGAGCGTCGGGAGTCGCGTTGTCGCTGGCATCGCGTCCGGCTTGTCAGTGAGGAGGTCGTAAAAGCACTTGAGCTGCGCCACGTACGCGGCAAGGTCGGGCTCCTCGACCCACTAGAGATTTTTCATCAAGCCGATTGGCATGCATCCCGCCGTCATACGTGCTCGACAAAGAAGAACATGGCGTCACTGAAATACTCGATGGTCAAGGCGGGCTGGCCGTGGCTGTCGCTCTCCCACGCATCGTGGATGATGATCGAGGCCAAGCTGTCGATCCACTCGGTCGTGAGTCCTAATCATCCATCGCTGCGGCGGCCACTGCATATAGGAGACACGCTGTACCCGAGAGCAGCTGCGAGTACAAGTGCGTGTACTGCTGCTTGCTCATCGTTGGGTCGTCCTTGGACTTGATTTGGCACTGCCTATAGAATCATGCGCAATCTCGCCAAGCAGGACACGGTATCGGCAAGTACCAAAGCGACCGCAGCCACTTGCGCACATTTGGGTGTGTCATAATGGCCGACCGCTTGATCTGCAGCTCGCGGTGTCGCCGGAGGATGTCCTGCACGTCGCGCGACAGAGTCACGGGCGGCTTCTTTGCCGCACTCTGGGCGCACCGCGGCGGCCGCGAGTGGGGCTTCTTCGGGCTCTCGCGCGACGCCGGGAGCGTCTCGTCCTCGAGCGGCGCCTCGGCGACCGTCGCGAGCGCACTGGGCGTCGGCGACGTCGGCGACCGGGAGCGCAGAGTCGTACGCGTTGTCCATGAAGGCCTGGTACACGCGCTGCATCGTCTCTTCCGAGCTCGTGAGCGTGTCGTCGATCGCGAGGCGCGCGCGGTGTGCAGCGCGTTCTTCGAGCTTGGCGAGGAAGGCGCCGAGGCTCTCGGCCTCGGCGCGGAGGTCGGCCATCGTCAGCGAGTCCCATATCGTGAACCGTCGCATCATGTACGCGTCTACGCTACCTCCATGCCCCGGCCGCCTTGCCGTCGCTTCCGTCCACGCAAACGAACGACGCAGGGACAAATGGGTTATTTTTAGCGCGCCACGTCAGAAGCAACGCAAATCGTGTGCTACGAGTTGAAATAGTGTATGTATCATCGCCATGGCCGTTCCGCTTCGTCGGTCGGTCGCGACGACCTGTAGCTGCTGCAGGCAGCATGCGTGGACCTCGAGAAAGGACGCAATGAAGAAAAAGTGCAAGCCCTTGCTACGATCCCATACTGCGTAATGCGCAAGCGCATCGGATACCCTTGGTATAAGCTCGCCATAGGCGACTCGTCAGCTCTGAATACTACATACCGGTATGCAAGCTTGAGACTCATTCGAACTCGTCACATCACACGACTTGTTGTCAGCCTTCTGCTATCTATACACTTGCTTTGAGAAACAACCGGCTGACTTATTCCAAAGCTGCAGCCCAAAAGACGCAAGCGATGGCGTCGGAAGCACTGGGCCACGGTGACTTCGAGCAGCCATAGAAAGAGGCGTAGCACGACCAACGAGCACCTGATGCCCTCAAGTTGACTTGAACATGTAGTATGATAGTACCTTCTGCAATCTACGTACTGCGCTGCCAACAGCCACGTCCCTGCAAGTCTTCCCTGCACACTGAAGAATGTACGAGTCATGGCACAACGTATGTATTATGTGAAGCAGGTAGTTGGTATCGCTACGCCATGCAGAGCAAACGGCTCAACGTTTACTCGTCCAACTCGGAGGCGAGGGCCTTGGCCTTCTCCTTGACTTCCTCAATGCCACCGACCATGTAGAAGGCGGCTTCCGGGAGGTCGTCGTACTCGCCGGCAAGGATGGCCTTGAACGACGAGACGGTCTCCGCGAGCGCCACAAACTTGCCCGGCTTGCCCGTAAACACTTCGGCGACGTGGAGCGGCTGCGACATGAACTTCTGCACCTTACGCGCGCGCGCGACCGTGAGCTTGTCGTCTTCCGACAACTCGTCCATGCCGAGAACTGGCAATGATATCCTGGAGACCCTTGTAGTCCTGGAGGAGCTTCTGCGTCGCGCGGGCAACCTCGTAGTGCTCGTCACCAATCACACGCGGGTCGAGCATGCGCGACTTCGAGTCGAGCGGATCGACGGCCGGGTAGATACCGAGCTCCGAAATCTGGCGCGACAACACCGTCGTCGCATCCAAGTGCGAGAACGTC